AATCCAAAATCAGTTGCTAATTGCGATCTGCGACTGATTTGCGAGAACAGAGAATCAGTCGCAAGATAGCTAATTTATTTGCAACCAACTACTGGTTATGGTCGCTAATTACCGACCGCTATGATTGGTCGAAATGAGCAAATCGGTCGCTATTGGGTCTTTCAATGGTCTTGTGACAGATGGTCACAATTAATTAATGGTGGCAAATCGTCACAAAACGACTGCTGAACTCCATAGGTAATCGGTCGCAAATATAGTCACTAAAGGTATTATTAATATTTTTAGGTGGTCGCAAAATTGTGAGGAAAAAAAATTTATAATTGCAGAAAACTAAATATGAAGCACTAGTTAAACGAACATATATATACACACACACGCACACACATACATATACATATGAAATCATACACAAACAGCCAAAATTTGTCGAATAATGGTATACTGCTCAGTAACATAAAGAAAAAGTCTTAAAATGGTATATATAAGAGAATATATAAGTCTAAAACGACCCAAAATCAAATCTACGACGCTGAGTGGCCAATGTGTCTGTATCCGCAGAAACAGTGTTGGCAGGAGGGTTGCTAGGATCCCGACTTATGTCTGGAGTAGGCGCTACAGTTGAGTCGCATACTAGAACTATAACTGATGGAGCCGATCATTAGATGAAGCATGCGGATCTCCAGAAGCAGGTGCTGCTAGTGGACCGGACATCCTCATGACATGCTCTCTAAGATCTGCCGTTGCCTCTCCTGCTCGTCAAGATGGGTACGCAACATACAAATCTCCTCTTCCCTAGATTCCGACTATGCTACTGTGTAAACATATGGTTCAAAGTAATGCAAACAGAAGATTAAAGCTTCCTCCACTAAGTATACATTGCAAATAAATCTCTTTACCTTAGCCTTATTATGTACTTTGTTTTTTATTTTATGCAAGTGCCTAATTACCTTTTTTATTTTATGCAAGTGCCTAATTACCAAGATAGAAAATTAAAGCAGAAACATACATTATCCAAGGTTACAAAAATTTAGTGAATGGTTTGAACGATTTACCTCTCAAATGGATACATCCATCGATATTGTACCGGTCCTACAATACAACATTCATATGGAGAGTGAATTGGCAAATGTTCCATGGAATCAAAGAATCCCAATGGAAAAATTCACTCCAATGTACAAATGATTAATGGAATTTCCCTTGCTAGTCGTTTCATATCATTATATTAATAACTGTGCTTGTTAATTCCTTGAAAAACAGACTCAACTCTGTCATCGCTTCCCAAACTCTTTCTTGCAACAATTCCCTAAATGCTATGGGGATCAACGTGAAATATGTACTTCAATAGTCAACGTGAAACAACCCTTATACATTATTCACCTGCCACAATTTCGACAACATCTCCTCATGGTCCTCCAAATGCATAATTAATGTGGCTTCATTAAACGTCAATATGCATCCAGAAAACATCATAAGGAGATACAACAGGAATTATAATTAGGTGAAAGCAATAAAAGTTTATCGTTTTCATGCTTTTTCTACCGAGACATATTTCTAAACTGTCCAAATATTAACCAAAACTAATCTAAAAACTAATCTAATGAACAATAACTAAACTAGTTAAGCTAAACTACTTAACTAAACTAATTATCAACTAAATGAATTACTAACAAGATTAACTAAACCTATAATGCAATTAACAACTAAACATATTAAACAAATTATTAAACTAATTAAAAATTAATCAACTAATTAACTGCTAATTAAGGTAATAAACAACTAAATAAATAATTCCTAAATTTCGAATCTAAACTGTATTTATAGGTAATGATCAAATAATTAATTAAACTAAATATATAACTAACAAATCATTTATAAATATATATATTTACTAATTATAATCAATAAAATCAAGTAATTAACAAACCTAAATAACCCTAAATTACCAAAACTAAACAAACAGTAATGACAAACCCTAACAAATAATTAGACTACTAAACTTAATAATCTGACACACATACATTGCAAAAAATACACGATATATATATATATATATATATAAAAGAAAAACAAACACCAAACAACTTAATTGTAGAGAGAAGAAAAAAAGAGGAAGAAGGAGAGTTGTCGCGCAGGGAAGAAGAAGCCAAGGGTTTTTAACCCTTTTAATTTTTGCGACCGACTGTTCGATCGCAAAATACTAAGTAATCGGTCGCTGATGATCTGACGTGGCATGCAATACATTAAATTACCATTTGCGATCGACAATAATCGGTCGCAATTGAATTAAATAATAATCGATCGGCGATTCGTCATTGGTCTGTTGCAAAAAACATGGTGGAAATTTTGGCCCCTTAATTTAGCAATCGCTGACTTATCAGTCACCGATTGGTTGCTATTTTGGTCGGTGTCGATCGCAAAATCATTGCAAAAGATTTTTCACAAAAAAATTTCTGCGGAAAAAAATAGCTGTCACAGTTCTCCGTAGAGCAGTTGCTATCTAGTGACCAATTTTAGTCATCGTAGATATTGATCACTGTTGCACATTTTTTTTGTAGTGATATCCTCTTTAAACATATCGAAGTAGAGCAGATACCCTAAGACACCTATACCATTTTCATCCCTACCCCTTACGATGTAAAACAATATATTAATTATTGGATTAGTTTCAAATTAATTTGTGTGCTAAAAATTTGATATTTTAATACAAATTAATATTAATGATGCTGCAAATTTTCAGAATTAATTTGATTATTTTTTGAAATTTTTATGCATTGATTTAAATTAAATAATAATTTAATCAAATAAAAAATTGAAAAAGCTTTTTAATTCAAATAAAAATTGAAAAAAGCTTAAAAAATAGTCAAAGAAAATGAAGAAACAATCTGCCATTTGTTGTGGCCGAACCACTAAGGTCCGTGAGCCGCAAGCGACGGAACCGTAGAATCGGTTTTTTTAAAATATAATATATATATATATAATATATATGTTTTATTTATTTATTTAAATCTACAAATTTTCCGAAATGAGATGGTGCCGGTTCAGTCAAGGGAAGTCAAGGGACGAGAAGCCTGTAATCTTCTGACCACATCGTGATTGTTCTGGGAGCACAGGATGGCCGCCGGCGACGTTGGCCATTGCAGGCCTTTGATTGTCAGCGGTGGTAAGGTTTTAATGAAGAAAAAAAAACGATTTTTGAGAAGATAACACATTTACTTTTTGGTCCCTCATTGTTTTTCAATTTTTCAATTGAGCTCCAAAATCTTATAATTTGTTCAATTAGGTCCTAAAATTAATTTTGGTTAGATATAGAAAAATCACTGTAATTCCATCAAAGTCAATTAAAATCTATAAAAAAAGTCTCATAAATTTTATAAAACTCTATGTAGAATTCTAATGGAATCTGTGGAAATCTTAGGAAATCCTTCAATTCCATCAAATTCAACAATTCTTTTAAAATCTTACACAATTCTAATCCAATACACCCCTTAAATTAGCAAAATAAGTTTTTATTATAATAATAAATACAATTAAATAATATATTTATAAGGAATTACCGATTTTATAGATAGCAAGTTATTAGATATTTGTTTATTAGATATTTGTAGATCTAATGCCCCACATTAGGTAGTTTAAATCTAATAGAAGATAACTACTTCTCTATCTATACAGACTATCTATACAGAAATTCTCTATTTCTATACAGTAGTCTTACCCACTTAGTAATTAAAATCACTTTTTATTTTAATTAATAAGATATAGTAAAAATACTAATATAAAACATTGTGAATTATCATATTATTAAAATATTATTAAAAATATTATATGCAATAAAGAGGATGAGAATCGTTAGATACTAATCTTTTATGTAGGATAAATAATTTTAATTTATACTTCATTTGTATTATTAATTAAAGAGTATCAACTAATAAAGATTTTGATTTCGAATAATAAAATTTAATATATGCTACAAATAACATAATATACCAAACATTAAGGGAAAAATATACAGACGACTCGGTTTTTGATTCGGTTTGATTCAATTCAATTTTGGTATAGTTCCAGTACGGTGCTTTATAGGAACCGGAACCAAAACCAAAATAATTAATTGCATTCGGTTCGGTAAGATCCAGCTCTTGTTATCTCGATTCTTATTTTATTCCAGTTTAATTCAATACGGTTATTCGGTTCGGATCCCCAGGAACTATGCAGAACCCTTTCTTTACTCTTTTTCCCCCTTGTATAGCTGAACTTATTACTTTTTGGGAAGCTTTGAGTTGGTTGAAGAGAAAAGTAGCAGAGAGAGTTTTACCGCGATTTATTAGTTCTAATGCTAGTCAAACTACTTGCAGAGAGTCTTTGTGTGGGAACCTCCATAAGCTAATATGGTGGTTCATATCTTAATGCAGTATGTTATTTCTTATGCAAGTCAGACTATTTGGAGAGAGAGAGTCTCCTTTTTTGCTTGATTTATTACTTTCAGATGTTGCTCTCTAGTTTTTCTTACTTAACAGTAAAATCTTAGGTTGGGTGTACGGGGTAGATTTATTGCTCATGGTAAGTTAAGATCTTTTATGTTGAGTTTTTACTAGTGTTATTAATAAAATTTATTATTTGTTTTCAAAAAAAGGAAAACTAATTAACATATAATAAAAGATTTTATCTCTATTTGAAAAATCAATTATATTTTTAAATAAAAATATTTCCATATTTATAAATATACATGTTTATGATTTATATAGAATTAAAACTTAATCTAATATGTGATAACTGTTTAAAAATATTTCTTAAAGAAAAAAGAATAGTAAACAATGAAAATGAGAGAGAGGACTGAGAAAGTGAGAAGAAGAGAATGCAAGAAAAAACATAAAAAGGAAAAAAAAGAAGAAAAAAAAAAAGAAACTAAACCATCTTTACACAAGCTTTTTCTTTGTCCTTTTTTTTTTTTTTTTTTTTTCTTTTTTTTTTTTTTTTTTTTTCTGGGTAAAGAAAGGGAACAAAAATTCAAGAGAAAGTAAATATAATATCTGGGGTATATTTGAGCATCTATTTGATACAAACCTAGTGTTTATTATTTCTTTCAAGCATTTTATCAAACACTTAAATATCTTTTTTATCAGAACTTAAAGAAATTCTAGTGTTTGCAGCTTCTTTCTTTCCTTCAACTCTCTAACAATTTAGAGACAATTTGTTTGAAAATATCCATGTTTTTACGTTTTTACGGAAAAGTGTTATGCAGGCATCTGCGCTTCCATCTCCGTTGCACGAAGGTAGAAGAAACATGAAGCCTTCAATTGGAATATAAGATGGCATAAATATACAAGGACTTCCTCCTCCAAAATCAAGTTCATAAAATGGAAACCTTAGCCAGCTATCAACCTTCAAATTCGGAATACACGTAGACACATTAGCATCCGCAGTGGGCACCAAGTCTTCCTCCTTCGCCTTAACCGTTGCGAAGTCAATGAATGATTTGAAGTATTTGTCGTTCACACTTTCAACGGCGTTGCGAACGAGCTTGGCTGCATAACCCAATGGTTCCTGCACTAGGTCTTCAACCTTAGAACTTGGATATGTCCAGAGCACCAAGTTGCCGAAGTATTCATTTGGCACTTTCGGGTTCATTCGCGCACGACCATTGACTGAACGGGTTCATTCGCGCACGACCATTGACTGAAATTTTTATACGGGTATTTTCAGATCCATTCAATTGACGAGCCTTCGTCATAGTCCTCCATAAATGAGCAAGCAAGCTTTCAAAAGTGGTATACGGCTTGTTATTACCATTAGCTCCATTCAGTAACGAATTAGAAGCCCTAGTTTTGAGCTCAGAGAGAAATTCCATTGTAAAATGGACTTTATGGACTTCAACTTCTTCTACCGACATACCATCATAATTAGAACAATCATGGACAAGATTTTTGCATTTAAATTCTACTCCGTTTCAAACTCGAAATAAGGCGGATTTTCTAGGGTTAAAAATGGTTCGATCATGAAGAGGGAAGAGGGTTTATGTCAAGTCCATCTAGTAGGCTTTCCCCCAAGCAACCAAAAAATTGCTAGCGGAGTGCCCATCAGCTACTAAATGATGGCCTGTGAAGCCAATCACCAGTGAGCCACAAGCGAATCTAGTGAGTTGAACTTGCAATAATGCCTCCACATCATTTGCCTTAGGGTGAAGACTAAGTAAAAATGGAGATGGCTGCAAAGGCATGACTTGTTCAAGCTTAATATCAGTCGATGCCTCAACAAAATTCACCCCTTTGTCATTTAGAAAAATGACAGGATCGCCATTTTCATCTTCTCCTAATCTTCCTGCCCATTCTCTGTATTCTGATAAGACTTTTTGCAGGCCAAGCTCAATGGTAGCATTTGTTGGAGTTGGTGGATTATAGGCATAAATGATAGCTACATGCGTGTTGTAACTGACTTTATCAAATACACGTGTTGTAACTGACTTTATCAAATACACTAAGAGGAACAAAATGTGATTTTGGATCAACAGGTAAGTTATTGCTATCGCAAAATGGCTTAACAATTTTTGTTCTTTCTATCGTCACCTTCATGGTATTTTTGGTTGAGGTTATATAAATTTGGAGAGAAAAAAAATACCAAAAGGTTTGTTTTCAGTATGGGTAGCTAATTAAAGCATTCTCCTTTTCATACATATATAGTGAAGCGCTTGCTCTATGCCAAGCCTTTATAAGCGCTTGCTCTATGCCAAGCCTTTATATGAGTGGATTGGTGTCAACAAACATTAATGTGATACATAGAACTCAGAGACAAATAGGCAAATTAGGTCCATTTTAAAAAAAAAAAAAAAAACGAAGAAAAAGAAAAGAAAAATAGGTAAGCATTGCTTCCAGAAGTCGACTGAGCATACACAGTCATCATTATTGGCTTTTTTTTCATTTTTCTTGAAACACGATCAAATTGTTTATTTTTTATGTTGCATTTTGATGTAAATGAATTCAAAATATGAGATTCATTTATAAATGAATTATAGATATAATTAATGAATATTTCATATCTGAAATAAATTTAAAATTTAAAAATTCATTTATTTTTATTTCTAAAATATCTTTAGTATAATCACCTTAAACGATAAAGAGGATGGAGAGTTTTTCATCCACCTTTAGATTATTTAAGTTGATGAAATTCAGTTTTTAGAAATTTTTTTTTCCCATAAACTTTAACAGGACATGGCTTTATTTTTTTAAGTTTTTTTTCCCATAAACTTTAACAGGACATAGCTCTATTTTTTTAAGGAATTTATGTAAAGTGGGTAACACTACTTATTATAAATAATAACAAAATAAAATAAAAAAACACAATTTTCTTGATTATTTTCAATACGTCTTTGCCTAGAAGCAAATCAATTGTTCAATATGAAGTTATTAAAAAAAAAGTTTCTTGATTATTTTTCAGTACATCCTTGCGTAAAAGTAAATCAACTGCTAAATATTAAAATAATTTATCTAAAATTTTGTATTAATTTTTTATTTATTTTACCACAAATATTCTCACACTCTTTAGCCGATCAGATTAACATAATTTCAAAATTTATAATTGATCCATTTTATTTGTATTTTTTACGGATCAAACCCCCTAACTTTTATAATAAAGATCTTAAAATTTTTATTACTTTTCAACCACTATGCATAATTTTATAATAAATAAATAAGACATTGTCTTCATCATTAATATACTATTGGTTACAAAAAAAAATTTACAAAACAATTGGGTTGCAACTTGCCAGCTGCCCAAACACCGGCTGTTTTTGCCAATAGCTTTTTAAGTAGCTTTTAATGTTTTTAAAATCTTAAAAGTTATTTTTTATAATATTCAGTAATACAGTGTTTGAACTAGCTTTTAGAGGTTAATTTAACGTTTTATAAAGTTAACCCATATATTATTTAGCTTTTAGCTTATATAATATTTAGATTTTAGCATTTTATGAAAAATTACTCAAAAACAGCAATTTTATGAAAATTACTCAAACAGTTGATGACTAGCGTTTAGGAAAACAATTAACAATTATGCAATAATGCTAATTTTGCCAAAACAAACTCTTTAGAAAACCGTATTAAAAACGTATTAAACTAAAAAAGTATGCTTAAAAGTGCTCTAACCAATCGATTGATGCCAACCAACTCGTAAATTTGTTAATTGAAAGTGCAGTGCTTGACAATTAGAAAAATTAATACTTTACTTAGAATTGAAATTGCTTAATTGAAAATGTGAACAATGCTTGGATTGATGGCAAAAAATAGTCACAGTGCTAAAAAAAAGTAAAAGACAGATTTGAGAAATTGAAATTGGAATTTTAGAATTTCATTTCCTGATTGAGGTTGAGTTTTGTTTTGAGAACCCATGTCTACTCATTTTCCTCAAATTTTCCTCAAGCAGACTCCACTATCTAGTTTTGATCTTATCTCCTCATTATCATAAAGCGTAATTGATTAATTTATATAAAAAGCAGACTCCACTATCTAGTTTTGATCTTTTCTCCTAATTATCATAAAGCTTAATTGATTAATTTATATAAATAAATCCAATTAATCAATCAATTTATGGGCTAAATAAGAAGTAACTGTGGACCTTCATAAAAAATACAAATATGGTGCTATCACATACGCACACAACTGTCACATCTCATGTGGATCGTTGGATTTCTCATACTAGGTGCTATTGGGCATGGATTTTCAAAATAAGGAATAACAAATTATGGATAAATCTAGTAAATAGATTAAGCGAAATCTCAAAAAAATTCTACTTACTTAGAATATTATTTTATTCAGCAAATGCATGTGGCACAGCTTTAAAAGTTAAGAGCCAGATTCAAATGAGAAAAGGCTTAGATGGATACCTAGATACTCAGAGAAATATGGATCTAACTTATTAATACTAATAATCATTTTGATTCGTTTACCTATATAACTAATAATTAAATTTATTTTTAATAACTAATTTAATATAGAATAGCCGAATCTCAATTGAACCAAACCATCAGCTTCTAGGTAAAGTATATTCGGATAACCTTAAACCATGCTAATTCGGTTTCGTTCAGTTTGATTAACAGAATGTTCAACCCTATGCCCATCCATGGAATAGATGGAAATGATTTGTTTCACTTGGGTTGGGCTTTGCTCCAATCTTTAAATTTTTTACCATGCACTAGGTATTAGATACAAGAAAGCCCAATCTTGTCGAACCGACAAAAGGTCCATCTGAAATTAGCCAATCACGGTAGAACTAAAGCCACAGTGAGAGGCAGAGAAACGAATACATGATATACTAGATCATACTTTACATAATTTTTTTTTTCTTAACATTAAAATAAAACAATTTCCTATTCAAGATCAATTATTTTCAAGTTCTATTTCCATGGATTGTTCTTGACTCAGTTAACAAAACTCAATATTTAAAGCTGCCTCCTGAGATTCTGGAGAAGACGTCCTTTGTTCTTCCAGGAAATCTGTATCCATTGCGAAGGTAGATGAACTTGGTTCATTTTCATCACTTTTTCTGCAAGTATGCGATCTGAAATCTTTCTGCTTGAAGATTCTTAACAATTCAAGAATTCTACTCCACAGTGAAGCATTAGAGTCAGAGGTAATCAAGATTCCTCTGTTTTTGTGAATAAACATAGCCATGTATATAATTAGAGACAGTAAAGAAGCTACTCCAGCAATCAAGAATAGACCCCAGAAACTATTGAGACCAAGCCTATTTGAAGGAACTGAATTGCTACGATCTGGACAAGTCACTTGTTTCCCAAACCATTTTTCTTCTATTTCTTTGCTTTTGTCTCCTTCAATCACCTTTAAAATTGCTCTAGACACATCAGCCGTTAAAGGAGAACCTCTAGGGAAGACCTAAGAATAACAACATTTAAAATAAAAAGAATACCCATGTAAGAAATTCTGCATTTAATATTTGCGATGTTCTGAGTTCAAATTGTCGTCAGAGCAATTAGCAAAAAAAAATAAAAATAAAAAATTGCAAAGAAAGAAAAAGGAGGAGGAGAAAGAGACGGCAAACCCACAAAGCCAAGTCCATCTGTTCTAAATTCTTGAATGTTTGATATGTTGTTTCTATATTGTGATTCCAACGTAGAAGTAGTTTCAACCAAGGTATATTTAGAGCAATTCTGTGCCATAATTAGCTTTGTCGATGGTGATTCATCAAAAGCAGCAGCAATGCCTCCATTTTTACTTCACTTCCTTTTGAAAGGAGATCATTACACTCTTCAGCAGATTTGTAAGGCACGAGCTTGGATTCCTTGAAACCAAAGCTTAACAAAAGAACCATTCTTATAGCCTACATTTTCTCCATTTGCAATCAGTTCATCTATGGTGGTAACGGAGGGTCATCGCTGTTCCATGGTTAGAAAGCTTGATAAACTTGCGGCGTAGCATTGTGTTAGTACGAGTGCGACAAAACACCATATGATTACTACTTTTCTAGCCAAGTTGCTCTCCACTCTTTCTCTTGCAATTATAGTTTTATTCATTTTGAAAATTATTAGATTGAATCGAAAATACAATTATTAATATGTATACATAAGAGGTGAAAAGGAAATTAATTACTCTGTGCAAAAACCATTGTCGAGAAAGAAAACCAGAAGCTAGTGCCCACTTGCTGAGAATGAGAACCTTGAAACTCTTCATTTATCCTGTGTTCAAGAACCCATACTACAAATGCAATAAAAATGAAGAAACACAAGCTTTTAATCCAAAGATCGCATGTTAGAGGTTTCAAGAAAACCCATGGTTTATCACTTTCTTCATCTGTGGTTACGACAATCATCGATACGGTGCCAGCTCCTGTATATGGCAAAGTAAAATCCACATATTGGGATCTGTTGGCAACAATAGATATATCTCCCACCACAGCATCAAACTTCTGTTGGCAACAGTAAAAATGGAAAAAGAACACACAGAAACGGTAAGTGATCCCACCACAGCATCAAACTTCTGTTGGCAACAGTAAAAATGGAAAAAGAACACACAGAAATGGTAAGTGACAATGCTTATTGAACCATAAATGACTCATATAATTTGAGAGAAAAATGAAAGTGAGTAAGAAATTTTACCCCTAAGTGACAATGCTTGTGTCTGATAATGCTTGACGAAGATTCAGACCAATTTGAGAAACACCAATAGTTTCAAGATCTGTTGTTGAGTTGCTAGAAAAACCTGACTTTTCGAAGTCAAAGTTCTTAGTTCTAGTTGAAACATTCTCAACTGTCATGGCTAATGCTATTGTAGCATCATAAGTAGCATCATAAGCCCATAATCCGTAACAATGTTTCAAATTTAGCAAATCATCTTTCTCAGGATTAACCTGATGGATCCTTTTGCCATTGTACTATTGTACTTGAAAATTCTTTAACTTTTCCATTGGAACGTGAGGTTTAATACCCAATACTCCTTGCATTGATTCAATAACAAAAGAATCCATTGAATCCAAGAAATCGGTCATTCTATATGTAATTATCCAAACACGGCCTTTACCCATCATTCCAATCTTTTTTGCATTTATAAAAAGCCTAGAACCAAGATCAGGCAACATGTGCACAACAAAAACTCGACTTCTCATTTCCTTCAACTTTTAAAGCTTTTCAATAATTTGACTGTCTGTGGCTAATGGAGAAATAGCACTCCGGTAAGGGACTTGAGTATCAACTGCTTGCAAGGCATCAGTTAAATAAGGTATGATTCCAACTCCATATTCATCGTCAACATAGACAAGCACCGCTTCTCGCCATCCAAAAGCTTTCTCCGGCCAATCCAAAAAGCTTGAAAATTATTGCACTTAATGGCATTTACTTGAGCAGAGTCGTTTGGTGTAGCTTGAAAGAAGGAGTCGTTTGGTGTAGCTTGAAAGAAGTATGGACTTCGAATGGTAGTAAGAGAAGGGTTTGATGCAGAAAATGATATTATGGGCACTTTAGCTTTTTCTCCAAGTTGGGTTATAAAATTGGCTTGCGTGGAAGTCGTTGGCCCTATGATGGCTTCTACTTGAATATTTGTTATTAGGTCCAAAGCTGTTTTTTCAAGAGCAGATGACAGAAAAACAAGGTGAATTTCTTTCTTTTCTTTTTCGGTTTCTGAAATGGGCAAGTCGTCATAATATTGTATATAATGCTTAAAATACTATCATATTACTGTTTACAAATACTCCCTCCATTCCATTTATAATAATAGGCCTAGTTAATAAAGTTACACCATAATTTGTACTTAATGTTTTCCTAATATATTCGGACCCTATTACCAGGGACTTTTTAATTCGGTTCGAAGCTTAATCACAGTTAATACTTCTCACTCCTCCCTACAAGTGCGTTTAGTGGGATCAAGCCTGAGAGATCTTTCCACATGTTCAGTCTGCGTTGCTAATTGAGCCACAAACTGTAGATATCCTTATATTAAATATTAGTCATCTATTTTTTAAAGTTATTAGAATGACTAATGTAAATGTAAGTAACGATTACTCTCTCCGTGTCAAAATATTAGTCGTTTTGAGTAGTTTAAGGAATAATAAACGATATTTTTTTCTAATATTATACCACATACAGTAACTATCTTTGCAATTTATCATTGATTTTGACATAAAAGGTAATTTAGTATTGACTTTATTATGATTAAGAGAATTAATTGCTTCTTTGCTCTCCATACAACAACCTTATATTCTGGCACATATGGATAAGTTTGTTATAAGATTTGATTAATGGTAATACTGTACATGTAAAATTATAATATTAAATTTTGACGTAGGTGTAAAATTTTCTATTTTCAAAAGTTTAGATAATAATCATACTTTTTGAAAAAGGTTTGACTTTTTCAAGATAATAATCATACTTTTTGAAAAAGGTTTGACTTTTTCATTTTTTACATTTATACTAGTGATCGAGACTAAATCATTTACCAAATAATCTCAAGGACATGTATACTCACACATCGATCTAATGCATTCAAGAATATAATATTATTCTTATAATGCTTTCCGATCACATTAAACCTCAAGTAATGAGAACACTCATTGCAAGCAACTAAACTAATCATGTCGGCAACTAAACTAATCATGTCGGATATATTTGGCACTTGGCATGTATAATATTAATAGAACATGCAACTAAACAAAATGGTACCTAAATTTTTTATTAATCATGGAAGGATGTAATAATGTGGTTAGTACAAGTTAAGAAGCAATTAATGTTTGAAAATTAAGGGTATGTTTGGCAAAATTAGCTGTTTTAGTACGTAGCTATTAATTATTTTAATAGCGTTTTTAGCTGTTTGATTAGCTTTCCATAAAAAACTAAAAGTTAAACGTTACATAGTTAACTTTTTATAAAACGTTACATTCAACTCTAAAAGTTAATTCAAACGATATATTACTAAATACTATAAAAAAATAATGTAAAACTATTTAAAAAGTCATTGCCGAATTAGATTAACTAGATAATAAAATTAATATGAGACACATGAATAGAAGCAAGAGAGAAAACCTGCAGAAGCTGCAGCAACAACATCTCTCTTGGAGTCCCTGATGTTGAGAACCAGCCTGGTTTTATAGTAAGCATGAGTACCATAGAAGTCTTTGAGAGCCTAAGAGCTTGAGAGCATGTCAAAACAGCTCAAAAACCCACCCTTTCCTATCCAATCTCAAAAGTCATAACGCAAAACCTACATTGACTGGAATTGGTCTCATTTACTGTTTCCACCAACAGAAACTTTAACTGAAGGAAGGAGCGAAAATAAGTAAGAGAAAGCAATTCTTAAAATGGCGTTCCACATTCTTTGACATAATGAAATTCGGAAAGTGCTTCAATCATTATGGTTTAGCTTTAGAAAGATGTTGCTATTTATAAGCTTTACTTTAGAAAGATGTGCTATTTATAAGCTTTAAAATTAAGGAATGAACATATAGGATAAGACTGGATGGAGTACTATCTATCATATATATTATATAAAATGTAAGAATTCAAACTCTACTAAGAATCTTTTACGTAAGAAAAGAAAAGAGAAGATGACGAAATTTCTTCTGTCTTTATTTTCCACAATGTAATACTAAATATCTATCATATATATTATATAAAATGTAAGAATTCAAACTCTACTAAGAATCTTTTATGTAAGAAAAGAAAAGAGAAGAGGACGAAACTTCTTTAGTGTGTATTTTCCACAATGTAATACTAAATTTATGTATTATGAAAACTGCTTTTTTAGTTGTTGAATCCTTTAACTTCTAGAACTTAATTAGTTTAAGTTTTTTGGAGCATCAACAAGTGTAATTTAAGAAAAAATCGTAATTTATTGACAAAGAATATAATACAACCCAATCAGGTGTAGTCTTATTCATCTTCTTACTAACATGGAGAATAAAAAGCATCAGGTTTAAATCTTTTCTGCTATAAGAGTTTCTTTCACTGATTTCATGAGCAAATTAAGGATTATCTCTATTATATAACTCATAATAATTATGATCTGTTAAGTCTCTTGAGTAATAAAAAGAATATAATAATTGTATTCAGCAACAACTTTTTAAATAGCTTTTGTCAAAACATTAAACGTTATTTTTTATAGTGTTTAGTAACATCGTATTTGAATTAGCTTTTAGAAAGTAAGGTAGCATTTTATAAAAAAATTAACTCGTGTAACTTTTTATTTTTAGTATTTTATGAGAAGTTACTCAACAGCTAATAGCTAAATACTACTAAAACAGCTAATAACTATCAAACAACTAATTTTGCTGGACAAACCCAATATATAATATAAGTACATTGTATCTATCATATCATATACTCCCTCTGTTCTTTTTATATAGAAATAACTAATGTTTCATCAAGATTAACAAGTAGATTAACCAATTTTTTTTGCCTTTTTTTCCTAATTTACCCCTAATATCTCATTTATTCCTTCTCTAATATCAATGTATGTCTTAAATTATGTTTCAATCTTTAATGATGCTTTAAATGCTTTATTGGAATGGAGAGAATAAAGATAGTTGTAAAATATAAAGTGTATGCTCTGATTTGTATAAAGATAGTTTGTAAAAATATAAAGTGTATGCTCTGATTTGTGGAAGACAAAATTCGCATTTTTTTGGTCCTTTATTTTAGGAAAAGGTTGTGTGAAAATTTTTTTAATATTATAACTCATTTTAACCTTCCAACTAATCTTTGGCTTATTGAAACTAATAGATATGTAATATTCTGTTCTGTTGGTATAATTAGTTTGATCTGATTTATATAGATTAGTTTCCTAATTGTATATAGTTAGGGTATTGAGCTGTATGACTATATATAGGAAAGTCATTGTACAATATGAGATACGGAAGACATCTTCTTTCATGGTATCAGAGCCGTGAACGATACCTATCTTCTATCGATCTTCTTTCGTCTTCTATTTCTATTCCTTCTTCTTCTCTTCATCGCTAATTTTATTCCTTTTTGATGGCGGACAAAATTCACCCAGCCACCACCATCACGAATATCAAATTAGCCATTCCCTTAACCCTTGATTATGAATCTGCCCAGTGTAACAATTGGGCTACCTTGTTCACCATTCATGCCAAAGCTACACTCACCCATGATCATATTACTTCTCCAACGAGTGTAGTATCATGATCGGCTGATGAACAAGTGGATGAACAAGCGCAATGGGTTCGTATTGATAACATCGTGCGCCAATGGATTTATGGTACGATCTCTAATGATCTCCTCAACACCATTATAAATCCAGAGGATACTGCACTTGATGCCTGGAATCATCTTGCCAACTTATTCCAGGATAATAAAATTGCTTGTGCAGTTCATCTCGAAACTGAGTTCGCTAATACTCTAATCTGAGAGATTTTCCGGACGCAAAGGCTTACACTCGTTGTCTTAAAGTTTTGGCTGATCAACTAGCCAATGTTGATCAAAAGGTTAGTGATCAGAGGATGGTTCTTCGACTCCTCACCGGCCTTACCGATGCGTATGATGGTTTTATTACTGTTGTTCAGAACAAAGTACCTATGCCTACCTTTGCACAAGCTTGTTCTATGCTTATTTTGGATGAGACTACGAAAGCCGAACGTGCTAAATCAGAGGCAACGAATAATACCTAAAATCAGAGGCAACGAATAATACACTTGCTGTATGCGGACTGCTGCTACTAATCCTGCCATCTGATTCTTACAAGGATCCGGCCCAGTGCCAGCCACTTTACAAAGGCAAACGGCGGCAAGGGGAAACCAGCGTGGTAATATCAGCGTGGGTATCAGACTAATCCAGAATCATCGAATTCTGGTGGGGGGTCCGAGGCAATTTTTTCGGAACTCACACAACAATTTTTTTAATCCGCAAGCCTCCTCCACCTTAAACATGCCGCCGTCTGGTTGGAATTTCCCTTCGTGAAATGGCCTGGTACCGCATCACAGCCGTGGAATGGCGCCACCGATGTCCCTATCCAAACAAATCCCTTGGCCTCAAACGTTCCACCGCCGAGCACCGCAGCAAGGTAACTTAGGGTCTCATCCTTCACAGCAATCTTTTTAACTGGCTGCCTGCCCCATCCTCAGTCCTACTGAATTATGCCCTCCAACTGATATTCGAACAGGCCTTGCCACAACAGTCTTAAAGTCGCCGGAAGGACAATGTATATGATTCAGCTGCCACTTTCACATGACTGGCAAATTAGGTACGCTTCAAACCTCCTTTTATTCCTATAATTGAGGCAAAGACGGTATTGTTTGTATGGAATGGGCATATTATTCCAAATTCAGGTCAATGGTAATGTTTTCAGCTGTCTCCTCTAATCCCACTTTAACACCTTCGTAATGTTTTGCATGCTCCAAACATGATTAAACCTTAATTTTCTGTTCGTAAATTACAACTGAATAATTGGGTGGTCTGTTGAGTTTGATTCCGTTTGGGTTTTCTGTTGAAGGTTTTTTTCCGACGGGGGACAAAATTCTCTTGCGGTGTGAGATTCTGGGGATTTATATCCCTTCCATCTTCCCTAGCATTGGTCATGAGTCTGCTTTCTCTGCTGTTTCCCGCCCAAATCTTTTGGCCATGCTCGTTTGGGTCAACCCTGGCAAAGTCATTCTTCAATCTTCCTTAAGACAAAAATAAAATTGATTGATTTGTAATAAGGACAAGTTAGAAATTTTGTCATTCTTGACCTCTTGTAAATTTGTTCGGGTGCCTTTTTCAGGATTCGTGTAATGTTACTCATAAACCTTTTGAAATAATTCATAGTGATTTGTTGGTGTTCACCAGTCTTAGTTCTTTCAAGGGCACCAAAATATTATTTTGTTAATTTTTGGATGATTTTTTGAATTTTCCCTTTGGGTTTTTCCCTCTCACGGCAAGTCTGAGGTTACTGGCGAAAATTTAATCAGTTTCAAATGCTTTTGTTACCAACACAATTTCAAAACCTCCGATAAACAATTGCAATGTGATAATTGGCAAGGAATATGATAAACCAACTGTTGCCACTCAAGTTTTGTATTCAGCATGGGAATAAACATTTCGTTTTTCTGTGTCCCCTATACTTCCTTGCCCAAAAATGGTAAAGCTGAGAAAGAAAAATCAGAAGCACTTAATAACGTCTAATTCCTATTCGCACTTTTCTAGCCCATTCCTCCACACCCCATCAGTATTGGCATCATGCTCTTCACCATGCTACATATATCCATAATATTTTACCCACCAAAATATTAGGATTTCAGTCACCAACTCAAGTTTTGTATCACAAAATTCCTTCGTATACAAACATTAAGGTTTTTGGCTGTCTTTGTTTTCCGCTGCGTCCTGCATCTGCTATTCATAAATTAGCCAATAGATCCTTGCCTTGTGTATTCCTGGGAAATTCCTCTTGTCACAGGGGCTTCAAGTGTTTTGACATGTCTTCTGGAAAAATCATTCTGAGTCGCCATGTTAAATTTGATGAACAACAGTTTCCATTCTCTACTGTCTGTTTCCCATGTTCTAACTCCTATGATTTTCTCGATGACACCTTAACACCAATAGAAATCCATCGTATTTACTCTCAAAGTAATCCAGCTGGTTCTACTTCCTCCATTGTCGAGTCACAGTCTTCTCATTCTACTTCCTCCATTGTCGAGTCACAGTCTTCTCACTCACCTTCTTCACCTCTTCCACCTCCACCTCCTCCAAACCGAATGGTAACTAGGAGTCAACATGGAATTGTCAAACCCAATCCTAAATATCAACACTCATATCATGTTGACAAGTTGCTTCTATCTCCCATTCCTAAAAATCCAACACAAGCTCTTCATGATTTAAATTGGAAAAATGCCATGATTGAGGAATATAAGGCTCTCCTTAAGAATAAGACGTGGGTTTTAGTACCTCGTCCTCCTAAAGTCAATGTTATTCGATCAATGTGGATTTTTTGGCATAAACTAAATTCTGATGGTTCATTTGAAAGGTATAAGGCTCGTCTTGTAGGTGATGGTCGTTCTCAGCGTGAAGGAATCGATTGTGCTGATACATTCAGTCCTGTGGTGAAACCTGCTACTATTAGAACTGTGCTTAGTCTTGCATTGGCTAATTCCATTGGCTAATTCAATGGCAAATACATCAACTAGAGTGTCAAGAATGCATTGCCTTCATGGCAACTCACTTGAAACCGTATATATGTATCAACCTGCAGGGATTTCAGAGATCCAGTCACCCTAATCATGTTTGCTTATTACAG